ATGGCTGGCTAGTGGCTAGCTCAGTCTCAGAAGTACCAACGCAAAAAAGTTACTGTTTTGTTACCAACTTGAATTTTGTGTTCCCCTCTATGTGGAGACTTAATGACTCTCCAAGTGAATTTTCAAATGTGAATCTATGTGGATTTATGAGTTACCTATGTTATGAATTTGGCGTTGTTGTTCGGGTTTTTATGTGGATCTATCAGTTTCTAGTAGGCATGAAAATATATAATAGTTTCTTGATGCAATGCTGATAGGAATTATGAGAATGTATAAGGATATAAAGTATATTGAATGATTTTTATGTGATCGAATGAGGATTCATTTGGCAAAAATCCTCAGGCTTCTTCGTCTCTTCGAATTGTGTGCGTATTCAAGTTGAAATACCAGTACCAATATAAAAACAATTCTGTTTTGATGAGCTGAAGTTTTTGCAATAAATCGGAAAATATGGCAATATAAAGGGTCGTGTGATTAAAAAAAAAAGATGATAAAAGATGGTCTGAAACTTATTCGTAACGAAATCAGGGGGTGTTGAATATATAGAAAAAAAAGGAAATCAATGAGTTTTTTCCGAGTAAGTGACAATCAATATAGTTATATTTTCAAATAAAATATACAGGGTATCTGTAAAAAGTTCGGACATGGCTCGGCTGTGGACTCCTGGGATAGAAACAAGTTGATTTAGGCCAACTTACCTATATCCAAAATCGTCTTGTTGAGTTGGTACAAGGCGTTGGATTTTTTTTGGACAAAAATAATTTTGCTCATTAAAAGAGAAGGCTGGGATCAATTTCCATAATTTTTGGCATGGCATGTTCCTCAACTGTAAGTCACGTTTTGAGATGTTCTTGATCATCATCAGTGACCTGCAAGTGTTTCAAACAACCATGTTGCCGTACAAATTTTGTGATAAATTTCCAGAGGTCGGACTGGAAACTTCCAGTTTTTTTCCAGAAAAATATTTTCTTCAGAAATATTTTTTGTATCGTGTTTATCTCTGATATGTCTCGAGGTTCATTTGCAAATAAATAATTTCTGATATGATGCATCCTGTGCATTTTTGAAAATTAATCTAATTAGTTGGACTGTTTATTGATCATGGCTACAATATGATTTATTATTGTAAATAAACTGATAAGTTGCTGGTCCTCTTTGGCATTACAAGAACTTTCACGTCTCAAATTTAGCGATAACTATATACAGGACCCAAGGTGAGCACTTTAACGCCTTGTACCAACTCAAACGAAACGATTTTGGATATAGGTAAGTTGGCTAAAATCAACCTATTTTTATCCCAGGAGTCTACAGTCAAGCCATGTCCCAACCAGATTATTTTTCTTAAAAATGCATGAGATGCCTCAGATCAGAAATTATTCATTCGCAAATAATCCTGAAAAAATAACAAGATACAAAAAATATTTCTGAAGGGAATATCTTTCTGGAAAAGAAACTGGAAGTTTCCAGTCCGACCTCTGAAAAGTTGTCACCAAATTTGAACGGCAACATATTTGTTCGAAATACTTGCAGGTCACTGATGATGATCAAGAACATCTCAAAACGTGACTCACAGTCACAGAACATGCCATGCCAAAAATTATGAAAATCAATCTCAGCCTACTCTTTTTATGAGCAAAATTATTTTTTCCGAAAAAACTTCAACGCCTTGTACCAATTTAACGAGACGATTTTGGATATAGGTAAGTTGGCCTAAATCTACTTGTTTTCATCCCAGGAGTCCATAGCCGAGCCCTGTATAATGTTCACCTTCAACAATGACGTGCGTTCAAGCACTGACTCTGATATATTATATGAACACAAAAATTGTACCTACGCAATGGTGTCTTGCAGAATAGAAGTTATGAGCTATCAAAAATTATATTTCTCATAAAAACTGCTGGTAACCTTATAATATTAGAACCGTGCGTGTTCTCATTAGAAATTACAAATCTTTGAACTGATTTTCTCATACAAACTCATTTGATACATTTTGGATTGAGCATGCATTGTCTGATTGAAACTAGTCAACAGATTCCGCATAAAACCTCTTGTGTTATTATTAACATCATATAACAACTGTCAAACATTTTCATTAATCCGCATAAGATCTAATAATATATATTTTGAACTTGAAAATATTGTACTATTGAAAACTCACACAAACTTATAGAAAACATTTTATAATGGACATGAACTGTCTGATCCAAACTCGTGAATCATCATGAAAAAACTCTGCGAAAAAGCCTCTCGATATACTAGAAGTCATAACTATATATCCTCATCAACCCTCAAGAAGTCTATAACACATTATATCCTTAGCTTCAGCATTGTCTTCACAAACCTCGAAAACATACACATCTCATTCAAACTCATTAGATACCATTTAGATTAGGCATGTATTGTCCTATCTAAACTTGTGGATCCTTTTACAAAAATTCTGCATGAAACCTCTCAACATACCATTGAAGTCATAACTGTATATCCTTATCAACACTCATGAATTCTGGAACACATACAGCCCCAGCTTGACCCATAGGATTCGTTTCATTTCAAATCAGTATTGTCTTTTCAAACTACAAAAATCTTCAGAACATACAGATCTCATACAAACTAATTAGTTACCATACAGATTAGACATGTATTGTCTTATCAAAACTCGTGAGTCCCAATAACGCATCATTCATTTCAACGTATGGATACAGTCATTACGGTGAATCCCTATCAACTCTCATGAATCCTTAAACAAACATTTCCTCATGAGATACATATCTCATAAAAAATAATCAGATACATTTCGAATCAGACATGTATTGTCTAATCTAAAATCTTGAATCCTTATACAGCAATCCCGCATGAAACCTCTCAAAATACCATTGGAGTCATAATGGTATACCCTTATCAACACCCATCAGTTTTGATACACATCAAGCCTCAGCATGACCCATAGGATACATTCCGTTTCAAATCAGTAATGTCTTTTCAAACCCCAAAAATCCTCAGAACTAACACATCTCATACAAACTTATTAGATACCATTCAGATTAGGCATGTATTGTCCAGAATTCTTAGACAGAAATAACGCATGAAACATCATAACATACGAATACAGTTAAAACGGTAAATCCTTATCAACACTCATGAATTCTGGAACACATCTTACCTCAGCTTGACTAATAAGATACGTTTCATTATAGATCAGTAATTGCTTATAAGAAATCTCGAATACTTGAAACCACATATACCACATACAAGCTCATCAGCAACCGATAGAATCATGGCAGCAGTTCCCTATTGAATATCATAATTTATCGAACACTTTTCACCCTCACAAAAACCCATGAAATACGTTAAAGATTATATCTATATTGTCTTTTAAAAACTTATGATTACTCAATAATTATTTACCGGATTCAAGCTGATAAGAAAGCTATAATTTTAGAACCGTGTTTTCATATTTGGGCTCATAAACCTAGAAACTAGTTGACTCACTCATTGGACACATTTCAGATTAGGCATTCATTGTCTAATTGAAACTCGTAAATTCTCAGTTATTCTGAGTCACATAAATGCTAATAGAAATCGCATTAAATTAGATAAGGAATTCCTTAGTGAAACTCTAAAATCCTGATATATTTTTTTTCTGACGATACCCAATAGAATTCTATTTGTAAATTCCTACACATTTCTCATATAGACTAAGGCGCATGAATGTGCATAGAATACTTTTCCAATTGGAAGTGGAATATCTTATTGGTGGTCATATTAGGCTCCTCAAACCACTTGTGCCTGATAAAAACTCTCATACTCCATATTTGTATACGCTTATAAATCACATATACTCATGAAATATCATTAAACCTTTTAGAAAGTTCATGTGCCAGAGATAATGTACTCATACGCTACAGAGCTCGGTTATATATCCTTATTAATACTCATATTTTATCTATATTTCTTCATGAGACTTCATAAGGTATTTTTGGCAGGGATACTAAGTACTAAAATTTTGGATAATGAACTTTCCAGTTGGATCTTCAATAGTGTTATAAATATCATTTTCCATATCTCTTTACTTCTATAAAATTATTATGTGTCAGATAAGTTGTAAAACACTCAGTATATTGAACAACAATACTCTGTGTCTCATACTTGGCCAATAAATATTGGAATCGATATCAGGAAAAAAGTTTGAACTAAAAATTTTTCGTCTTGTATTCCAATTAGAGGCGAATTTTTGAAAACGTCCCGAGTTAATAGTCTAATATGAATAATGGATATCGAGAAGGCTGTTTCTGATTATACTTAATCGAATAGGCCATGGTTTTAGTCACCATTTTTGATTTTTTTTACTGAAATGGAATTTTGTCCTATTTTCTTATCATCCTGTATATTCCACAATAGTGCTTTTTTGTCATTCATTGTCCTCCACAGAACATGAGAACAGTTCTTTCCAATAGTCTGCTCAAGTGGAGTTCTAGAGAAAAATTTCAAGATATGAAAGACAAAAAAATCGAATTTTTGTTCCAATGGCCATTTAAGGAGCAAATCACGAAAAGGTCCCGAGATGAGGTCCGAGTGTATCATAATATGACTGATTTTTGAACAGAAAAAAATTTTTCGAGTTCTGGCAGCATTGGAAATGTAGACCATAGTATAATGGTTCAACTTTACACCCTGTGTAAGTTTTGTTCTGCGGACTTATTCAGAGTGTTCTAGCTCTCTTTGAAGGCGATGAAATATCACATCTGATATCGAAAACCGCATGAAGATCGGTCAATTTTTTCAAGAAATACTGGTCTTCGACATAGAGTCAAATTATGAGTGGTCCATTTAGTGTGTTGAAAACTTTGTACATGAGGAAGGACTTGTTAACCTAACCTAACCTAACCAAATCTGACCTAACCTAACCTAACCTTTTTTGTTACTCGCCCTTTTGTGAAACGCTGTTTTGTCACGCGCTGTTTTCTAACGCACCATTTCGGGCAGAACACGGAAAAACTTACCTGCGGACACGATATCTCCGTGGAAGGGTACCCGCAGCCGTTATTCGGGTGGTACCCATGCATGGTCATGTTCATCGACACGTTCACCGACATGCTGGGGAACATGGGGGGCGGCGGCTGCCCCCCAAACTGGTCGCCTGCGCTGCCCCCATACCCCCCTGGCGACAGCAGCATTTGGTGGGGGTGGTAAGCCCCCTCGAACTTGTCGTACTTGTCGTACTTGTCGTACTTGTCGTACTTGTCTTCTGGGTGGAGAACGGCGTGCTTGAGCGAGAGGAGGACGTCCGCCACGTCTGAGGAGGGCTGCTTGGAGTCTCGAAACGTCGGCGGCAACGTTTGGTTGGGCAGCGAGGATTCTATTCTGGAAAAGGGGTTTCTGTAGGTGGGTTTAGATGGAGGATGAGTTTGCAGACCATTACCACGGAAAAAAGGATTTGTGGCAGCAACAAATTATTGAATTTCTATCTCGAGTTATATTGTATTTACGTTCTCGTAGTCCTCAATACAGGGTGTATCTGGAAGTGAGGTATTTTTTTCAACAGAGTATATATCTACCAAAATAAGTTGTTCCGCAAAATATTGCTGATATAAAATATTTTTACCACCACTAGCTGTAGAATCTACCATTATTTACTTCTTTTCGGAGCGTGAAGTGTATTCTCACTGCCACGGTAGTTTTCGTCATTTTATGAACCACTAGTCAATAATGACATAGCCACCCTGTCATAATTAACGATATCAATAACGACTTGACATATGCTGTCATAGTCATGGTAATTATTTTGATAATAATTTATTTATTTATTTCATTTATTTCTTACACTGTTCAACAGGTTGCACCATTTACAGAACAGGAAAAAAAGGACAAAACAAAAACATGCATTGCATATTACATAAGCATAATGGATAGACGAAACAATATGACAAAATTAAAATATCCTGACTAAGTATCTAGTTATTCACTGATGAAGGAGAAAAAAGATAAAAAGTTTTGACATGAGTTATTCCACAGCTGAACAGATCTATATTCCTAGCTACCAAGTTATAATAATATGTACTACACATCTTATACAAGGGTGAATTTTTATATATGTTGGTTCGAGGAAACTCTAAGTAGAACGTATCACAATTTCTTGAAGATAATCTCGGGATAATAAAGTTCAATTTTTCCAACAAATCTGCACAGTCGATTAGATTGTTAACAACGTTATAAAGGATCAGGATAGAGAAGTATTGTCTTCTTACGTGCAGGCTTACGAATTGGAAAGTTTCAAGAAGCTCTCCATGAGGTGTACCAATTGGAGGGTATGTACCGCATGACCTGTAACTTAACAGTTTTAAAAACCGTCGTTGCAGACTTTCAAGACGATCAGTATTGTTCCGATAGTATGGGCTCCAAACAACCGATGCATATTCAATCTTCGAACGTATAAAACAGTAGTACAATTTCTTAAGAGTATCTATCTCTTTAAAATCACGACAGTTGCGTACTATGAACCCGTATGCTGGAAATGGGGATTTCAGGATTGAGTCAATATGATCATTAATCGATATAGATTGATCAAATATAACGCCAAGATCTTTGACTGTTATAGGTCTCAGAAGAGAAATGTCACCAATTGAGTAATTGAAAACGATAGGGTCCGACTTCAATGTGAAGGACATGACATTACATTTCACAGGATTCAGTTCTAATCTGTTATTTTGACACCATTATACCACCCGACCCAGGATGTCAGCGAGCTGTTGACAATCATCTATGTGATTCACGCACCTATATAATTTCAGGTCGTCCGCATATAGCAAAAAGTTTACGTCAATAATATTACCAATGTTGTTAATGAAAATGTTGAAAAGAAGTGGCCCCAGATTGGAGCCTTGTGGTACGCCAGATATTGCAAGATATTCGATAGACTTTTAGCCGTTCAACTGGACATATTGTTTACGATTAATGAGGTATGATTTGAATAGGTTTACTAGAGAGATAGATAAGCCAAATGCTTTCAGTTTGTTTATTAAAATTCCGTGGTCAAGTCTGTCGAAGGCTTTGGAGAAGTCGGTGTAGATCAAGGATGTTTGACTTATTTTACTAGAGGATGGCTCAATCCGCTGAATTTATCATCCCGCTCGTCGTTTGTCTCTGACGTCACCACGTGTGCTAACTGCTGATGCATCATTCTGCTGATGGATGGATGCATGGATGTTTATAACCTAACCTCACTATTTACGTATATTTGTATTCGTCGAAAGATCTAAAATTCATTAATTTTGTAGTTTTGCTGAATATTGAATCTTGAAAAAGTGCAAATTTTATTGGGTAATTGGCCGAACACTGGCGTGCAGGTGAGCGGAATACAAATGATTAATTTTAATTACCAATCACTTTATTTTCTTAAGGATTTATTTATATACAATGACATAAATCATAAATCGAACAAATACCATTTTGGTCCATTCATTTCGGAAATATCCTATCTTTCAAATTTGCTTCCATTTCCCTAAAAGACCAGTTATACCAAAATGGGATTTTTTTGTGTTCTTTTCATAGCTTCCTTTACAGGAACCCTTGATGGATGGTCAATAAATGGTCAAAATGATTGAATTCGTACAATTTTACTGTACCCATTCACTATTCCATAATACACCAGAAGTAATGATGAATAAAGGATATAAATATATATATGAATGCTTGTTGGACTAGAATCAAAATTCAAGTGGAAACCTGCTTAACCTTTGTAATGAAGATGATCCAATGTTCCAATGATCAAAACCAGGTAAGTTTATATAAGTGATAAATATGAGGCTTCTATAACTAAAATCACTTGATTTTCAGTATAATATGGCCAGAATATCACAGGAGTTCTATGTTTTGAACCAGGATTTCCCAATTTGTGTCAGTGAGTGACCTAAATGTGAGATACCAATAATTTTATTAGCATATTTCTTCCAGAAAATTAATTATGGAATTTTCTACAATTAATATCCAGCTGACTTATCATTAATTGCAAGATGAATTGAACTAAAACAAGCAGACAAGATCATTCTATTGAACAATCAGCAAGGAGTCCTAGGACCATTCACCTTGAGAAGAATGAAAGTTGTTAGATTTTTTTCTTGGATTCCCTATCAGAATTGACTTGAAATTTTGTGAGATACATTTGGGGACAACTCAACCCTCGACTCAGCCTATGCTTCTTGGATAGATATTTTCTACGAGCCCCTTAAGAACACACCTGAAAAAATTCATAGTTTCATCATATATGGATTGCAAATTTTCAATGTATTTCTTGATAGGTATGTTTGAATTTTTTCATGTGGCCTTTTTAATCTATGATAGTACTTTATCTGAGAATATTCCTTTTCAATGAAAAATTGTCATTTCAAATAAATTATATATATATATATATATATATATATATATATATATATATATATTATATAGTTTTTGTCATAGTAGGAGATTACATTTACAAACCATAACAAAACAATGTAACCTAGGGATATAAACAATCAATACGTAATTATTTTGAGGAAGTGGGTAGGAAATGCAGTTTTCTTGAGTCGTTTTCTCAATGGTAAACCTACAAACATCCCAATATCAAGACATTTTCTCAATGAAAATATACAATTGTTTACCCAAAAGTTCATGTTGTAGATCTCTCTCATAATCTTGATCACAAAAATGTGCTGAGCAAATTCTACCATTGTCTGGGTTCCAAGTAGCAGGTCTGTTACAACAGGCAATCCATTCATTTCGTATTGTTGTGGATAGGAAGTCTTTTTGTCTTGGAATTACATGAAAAGTCAGTTTTTCTTCTGTTTTTGAAGATGCCCAGTTGTTTTTACATCCAAATACAGCACACGTCAAACCAGGCATAGTTTAGATAGATTATCCAGAGATGTATAGATATTCCAATATCCTTCAACTTCCCTTCACCTATATAACAAAAACGATTTTATAAACAGCAGGAATAGCCGTAACTTTCTTCACGAAATCGTATTGTATCTACTTACAGTATCTGTATTATGCAAATATGCCTTGATTTTTATTATTTCAGTTTAATTATTTCAAAATTTGAATTTCTAGAATTCAAATAAACTGAAGCGCCATTATTGAAGCGCGTGCGCACCCTCACAGATCTCGCAGATCACTCGATATCATAAACACATAAGGCGTTTTCGGAAACCTACTCGGGTTGACTCGATCCCTAACCTGCACGTTCGTTTACCTAACCCGAGTAACATACCCATGTTCGGAAACTTCGGTGTTACTTACTCGATCACTAACTCGGGTTCATGTTTCGCAACCCTGCTTCAAAGCAGGGTCAGCCAGAGTTACTACCTTAGATCATACACTTACTACCACAGAACTACTCACGATTCATGTATTTCTAAGGTCACTTCAGATATTATTTGATTTCATCAATTGAACAAGAAGTGAATTATGTTGAATAGCATTAGTTTGATGATGAAAATACACCAACATCATGAGCAGAAGCAATATTCATAATTTCTAGAACAATAACAACGTGTACCTTTTAAGAGTTCAGTGGTATGTTTTTAAAGATATGGAGAAATTGATCCGAAAATATTGATATCTCATAGCAAACTGAAAAAATTGCATACGTGAGAAATCAAGAAGTTCTATTCGAAGAGGTATAAAGCTAACTCAATAAAATAGTAACCTGATAAGTTCGTAAACTATAATATTAGGATAAGTGATCCGACTGATCCATCACGTGACCCGTTCAGATCGAGTCAACAACCCAGAGTAAGTTTCCGAAAACGCCTATAAACATGCAGAAGGCAACGCGGTGACGTCACCCGACGGAATACATTGATGCAGTATAGGGATTGAGCCATCCTATACAGATACAGTCAAACATCCTTGGGTGTAGATGACGTCTGTTTGCGCACGATTGTCAATATTCTCAGAAATGTATTGAGTAACTGTTATCAGATTTGTAACCGTTGACCGACCTCTCATAAAACCATGTTGATGGGGAGAAATGATTTTGTTGATGCTATAGGACAGATTACGTTCCAGAAGAATTTCGAAAACTTTGCAAAAGTTGCATATAATCGAAATTGGTCTATGATTCACAAGGTTATGATTGAAGGGAAGTGCTTGCATAGTGACAATAGGTCCATAATTCAGTTTCACAGAACGATGATGATTGAAATATATTGCATGTGGTAAAAAAAAATTAATATACACCTTGGTAGTAACGAATATCATCACCACGGGACCTTATACCTTGGTCTTGGTCCCTGGGTAATAATGATTGTCTTCACTACCTTGGTGTATGAATAACTATAAGATATCGAAGGTGAAGGTATTTCAAGGTTTGAAGAAGACTCCAACTACGAAACATTTTGTTTACATTTTCACAATAAAAAACAAAAAATCCGTTATTTGTCCATTATTATGAATACCCTACAGTTGTATTATTTCATCAGATAATTTAATCAAATAAGTACCTCTTCTCACATTTTCAACTTATCAATTTTCGTTTTGAAATGTTTTTCTTTCATCAAATCTTCTATAATGAATGTTAGAACGATAAAATAAAAATTTTATTGTACAAAATCTTGAAATACCTCTACCACTGTTATCTTCCATTTCTCACATAAACAATTTTTGTCCAAACAACTTATTTTGGCGAGATACGTTAAATGAAAAACCTCACTTTCAGATTTTATATTGAATTTCACTTATAATATAGTATCCGTATACTCCGTACTCATTTTCTCACTGTCACATGCTCAATAAAAAAAATTGCAATATCGGAATCTCGTGCGCAAGCCATGCTTTTTATGAGGTATTTCCTTGTTTATTCGATTCATATATTTACACGTTGAATCTTCTTGTCTCTATATATTCTTTATTCACTGTCAATAATGTATATTATGTAATATGAAATTTGTAAAACGATACTCTTTTTGTATATTTTGTCAAATAAACTTTTTATTATCATTATTTCTGTTGGACTGAGCAATTTTTTATTGAATATACGGATACATGATTACTTTATAGAAGCAGAGCAGCTTGATCAAATCAAGAATGTAGTTTAATTGAATCAACAGTATAATATGTAAATATATGATTATCTCTAAAACAAATTATGTCGATGTCAATTCAACTATATAGGGTGTTTCACTTAAAACTCCGCACGCCAATATCTTGAAAACGAATAAGAATATTTGATTTCTGTAAAGAGTAGTCAATGGATGGGGTCTAGTAGATTTTTTTCGAAGTATAAAAATTCAACGCCTACTAAGAGCTGAGCGTCGCGAAGTGTCAAAAATATAAATCGATTGCCTTGACTACGAAATTACGTGCCCTCAATAGTCCCTATATGTAATTTATGAACTTTCTGGTTATCGAGTCGAACTTATTTATTGTAGTCATTTCTGAGTTATACCAGTTTCATGAATGACAAAAATGCAATTAAGTACTGATGCTTTTCACTAGAATGTCATGAATATTAGTTACTTCGGCAACCATTGTTATCGCAACTGTTTTACAAGCATACAACTTGGAAAGATTTTTACATCGCTGATTCTCCTATGAGGATAACACGCTGTGCATAAACACTTATTTCCACTCACATTACTAAAATAGCATTTAGTGTACGGATATGTACCACGCTAAATGATCGATTAATCACAGATTGACGATCTGTGATTTATTCAAAATATCAAACACGTTACCATGGCAACACGATTTCGTAAACACATTACCATGGCAACACAGTTCATTAAACACAGCTTCAGTAACTTGAGACATGTCTGGCCTGTCAATTGTATTAACTGTCAACTGTTATTTTCAAATTATGTATCAGAATTATTCAAACAAATTCGTTTGTATCAGAGTTCTCCATTAAAAGTATATGCGAAATGTAGACAAAAGTGAAATCGAAGAGAATGTTCTGGTACTTGCATATCTCCAAGAAGTATAAAAATGAAGCATCCATCTGCTTTCATAACAATTTATTTATTCTGCGCTAAGCATGACAATAAACGTGAAACAAAGGTTAGTAAGCAATCGACTGGACAAATCTACAACTAATATCACTAATACGTGGCTTGCTGGTTGCATGCAGTTGCATGTATTATGTTCTCAATTCCCATTCCTCTCGAATTATTTCGTAAGTTAGCAGAAATAGCAGGTATGTTAATGTAATTTTCGGAGTTCGTAGAAAAAGCATAGTATGTAACGCGTTTATAAACTCTTCTAGGCACTTGTTCATTAAACGCTCGTTACTAAAAGTACGTTTATAACACTTGTTTCATAATGTACTATTTGCTTCACTACAATTTTTCCTGCATTCTCCAAACACCAGCAACATGTCGACTTTTTCAACATTGCTAAATTGAACCATTTTCATATAATTATTGTTAGATTTGTTGGAACTGAACAAATTTTGATATTTCTTGTTACTAAATATATGCGACAATATCTCTGACACTGTAATGACAACATCTGACAATGGTAGCCGAAGTTACTGATACTCATGACATTATTGCGGAAATCATAGAATTTTTTGTCAATCAAGGAACATTTACTATAAATCGGTATAACTCAGAATTGAGTAAAATAAATAAGTTTGAGTAAATAACAAAAAAGTTTATAAATAAGATGTACTGTTGAGATCGCGTAATTTCAAAGTCAATGCAATCGATTTATATTTTTGACGCGTCGTGACGCCCAGCTCTTACTAGGCGTTGAATTTTTAGTACTTTGAGAACAATCTACTTATAGCATCATTCATTGACTACTTATAACAGGAATAGAATATTACTATTCGTTGACAAGATATTGGCGTGCGGAGTTTTAAGTGAAAAAACCCTGTATACAGAGTTTTTCAGAATTGTGGCGACAAAAGCCTAGGGGAGATTTTTCTCAACAAAATATGAAAAAAGTTCATGTTTCCCAAAAAAATGTTTCGTTTCCAAGTTTGAAAACAAAATGAATTTTTTATCAAACGTTCAAGCCGATTCGAATGAAATTTGTATTGTTTATTCACGAAATTATAAGACTTTCACTGGACCAACTAGATCTGATCTAAGATCTCCAGGGGCGTACCCATCGAGCAAGTCGGCTTTTTTTTAGAAAAAAAGTAATCCTGATTTTTTTTTTGGTTCTTTCCAAATATTCATATGAACCTTCAAAGAATAAAACATTTCATTCACAACCATATATGTAATGTTACATCACACACCTCTACTTCCCGCTTTCACTTCTCTCCGCCCTCACTTACCGCCCTCACTTATGTAATATTTCAGGTATGTTCAGAACGAAACAGAATTTCATTGATTTTGATCGAAATATGATCGTAATCAAAACATCGGTAGAAAGTTTCATTTGGGTCTCGAGATCATATCTAACTAACCTCGACGCTTTGCTTCTCGGTTAACTAACTGATCTCACGACAGAAATGAATCTCTTCCCACATCGTTGTGTGATATTCTATTTGTCTCCTGCTATTCATTTATATCTTGTTTCGTTTTCTAGAAAAAGAGACAATGACAATACCACACCTCCACTCCATGCAGAAGGAAAAATCCAAAAATGTATTGCACATTATTCATGGAAACAAAAAAGACATAAAATACAATACTCTCTCTGAACTGTATAAGATCGTAAAATTTTGTGGAAAATATATTTTCAAGATATTAATGGAATACCTACTCTTGAACACTCTTTATCTCGGAAACAAAGCAATTTCAGAATCATATGTTCATATGAACTGTTTTTTATATTTTCCTAGGCTTCTGTCCCCACAACTCTGAAACACCCTGTATACACTGTTAATGGCTTCTGTTGTGCTGGTTACGAAAAATAAGCCAATAACGCCGTCTTCAAGAATGAACTGCATGTCCTTTTATTTTCCATTACAATTCGCGGTTATGTAAATTACTAAACAACAACTAAGTCAGTAACTTTTTGAAATCAAATCACAGAATTAGCCTGACACATATTTGATTACTTCAAAAAAATGATGAAGATGCCTGCAACGCAGGTGTAATTCCTGTTAAAAACTTCAAATTCCACGCACTATCGGGCGCATTCTGATTTCCTTTCGTACGCTCCAAGAGATAAAAAATACATGATCGTTCATAAAAATACCTGTTTTCATTGTCCAGTACCTGTTACAGAATGAATATCCGTTTGCATTGTCCAATACCTGTTACAGAATGAATATCCGTGTTAAGATGAACAAGAACTAAAAACTACTTGGCCAAATCAGGTGTACCACAAGGATCTAACCTCGGTCCACTATTGTTTAACATCTTCATCAATGACATTGGTGACATAATTGAACTGAATTTTGTATTGTATGCTGATGATCTAGAAATTTTCTCCCCTATCAATAATATGAATGACTGCGAGAAACTATCGGACAATCTTAATCAGATCAGCCAATGGTATGTAGTCGTTATAATCTAGCGTTGAATCCTGCCAAGTGTTGCGTTATGTCGTATACACTAAGATCTGATTCAGTTCTATTTGACTATAAGATAGACAATCATTCTCTAGACAGACCATCTAATTTTAAGGATCTTGGAGTTACCTTCGACCGAGAGCTGTCTTTCCAAAACCATGTAGACAATATAAGTACGTCAGCAAGCCGTATGTACGGATTTCTAATTAGAGTAGGCAACGACTTTAATCATGTGACACTCAAAACTCTTTACTATGCTTTTGTCAGATCGAAGCTAGAATATGCGTCAGTTATCTGGAACCCATATTATCAAGTGCATGACATAAACTGGAGGCAATCCAAAGACGCTTTCTCAAATACTTAAGTTTTAAAGCAGATCGGACTTATCCACCAATTGGCACGGCACACGAGAGTTTACTGTCAAGACATAGCTTTTTCAGCCTGGATCAAAGACGGAAATGTTCTGGTGTCATTACGCTACATAAAATAATTAACAATGAAATTAGATGTCAATGCTATGATGTCAATGCTTACTACATCAGATAAACTTCAAAATTCCCCGTCAGGCATCTCGATGCACCGACTCATTCTACATTACCACGCCACGAACAAATATATACAAAAACCCTCCTGTACATACTATGTGTAGCAACTATAACCTAATAAGTAACCATCTTGATATATTTCATTGTAATGTGAGGCAAATCAAAAACTATTATTATCAGCAGTAATATTCTTGTATTAATCTCTTACTTTTTACTAATGTAGTCTTATTGTGTAAATTGTGTATTATGCAAAGTTTTTTCTATTGTTTCAAATTTTCACTTAGTTCCTGTTCTGTAATTGGAAATCTTTTTTTCTGTAGAACAGTGTAAATAAATAAATAAATAAATGAATAAATGAATAAATATTGATATAATCAACAATATTTCAAGGGGATCGATTATTTTGACTGCGAGTGAATATTCAAATGGAATGAAATAGAGAAACAGAGCTCCTGAGGGACCTCAGGCTTCAATAAATGGTAATTCTGCAAAATTTCAAACCATATTCCACTACCACTTCCAAACCAACCTTATTATAAACAATCAGAGAAAGTAAGATGACGTGTATATTTTACAAATAAAAAATCTTCAATGTATACAAAATTACATCTAGGTGAACTGTGACTCCAAAGTGAAACTTTTCCTCCAATCGGCCATCTCCACATGCAGCAACCTCGACCCTTCAACCACCCAAACACTTCCCGTCTTAGCACGCCTCACCAGCTCTAGAACAGCCCTAGCACCAGCCTCAGCCTTCTGACACAGCGCAGTCTTCATCTCTTCCTGAAGCTCCTTTCCCATCTCAGCAGTAAGCATGCGCAAGTGCACATCCTTGATGAAGTTCGTGGAAGTCAGTCCAACACATAGCGCCACCACACGCACCCCCTTCCTTTTGAAGTTAGCCTGGTGACCCAGGCTCTGCGACAGCCTCACTATGCCTGCGTACTCAGCTGAGTTAATCGGAGAACAGCTGCTAGGCTGCAGTCCTGATAAACCGGCTAGATTTATCACCACTGCATTAGAACTCTCGAAGCACTGCTGAACAGCAAGGTTAACGTTGATCGTCCCTACTAGGTTAGTCTGCAGCTCTTGTTGCCACTTGGTCTCGTCCCACAAGCCTGCTGCATTGACTATTATATCCACCGTCTCGAACTCGTTTTTCAGCTTCAAGAAGGTGTCGTCGACGGCTTCCTTGTTGCTTACGTCACACTTGATGAAAGTGGCTTTGTTTTTGCCGTGGGAGCAGTTCAGATGGTTCACTGCCTCGAAACCTTTTGGGATGTCTTGGTCGAGCAAGGCTACGTGTTTAGCTTTGCAGCAGAGCAGTTGGTGAGCGGTAGCGAAGCCTATGCCTTCTGTGCCTCCGGTTATCACTGCTACTTTGCAGGCTGGTTCCATCAGGGTTGTATACGGTTTGTTGCATGCTTGTTTGGTGCCGTGTGAGTGCGTGGTTCGGTATGAGTTGAGTACTATCTTGAATTTGGATCTAATTAAATGTTTTGCAATGGATCTGATGGGAATCATTCTGTGGAGACGTTTGACTTTGGCATTTTCTAACTGAAGGTCTTGTCATAATTTCATTTTATTACGTCAAGGTAATTGGCAATACCTCTTCAAGATGCTGTCAAATGATCAGCTGATTAGTGGGCATACTAACATGATACTGGGTGCGTTTTATTTGAAAGCCTCAACCAATTTTGGTGCAACTGTGGATTATTTGTAGAGGATAATCATCAATTCTACCAACTTTGTCCTCAATCCTATAAACCGTTCGATTTGCTCGTGTCCGAGGATTGAGTACCCAACCTCAGATTAAGTTTTGAGGTGTCGAATGTAGTTTTTTCACAGACTTTAGGAAACACCCTCAAAAAATAATGGTTTAATTGCTCCACTCAGAGTCTTGAGTGTTGGAGGAAACATTTCGCATCGAATTAGTTGACCAAGAGAGTTCTTTCGCCTTCTCATAACTATCACAACTTCAAATACATTTCCTTTCCAGACGGTGAAATACTCAAAAGATTTGAAATTTTATCAGCAGGAAAAAAAGGATCAGTTTCGAAATTCGAAAACCAAAATTCGAATGGAATAGAAGATAAAATCAAGGATCTATGTCATTGTCAATCATTAACAAGCTCACGTGTACCAACAGCAAGAGTTTTGTTGACGGCATGACGTCAAATCGTCTCATATATTGAGGTATTCGAATTCTGTGGGTATACATGATGAACCATCTTGTTGAATTGACAATCCTTGGCTCATATTATCTGTCGGCTCAACGATTCAGGTTCAAACTCAAGTGTAATGAAATTTCTGTAATTCCTGACTATCAAATTTTGATGAAACTGTTGACAGTGCATGATTATCAGGTACATAAATTGAATGATTGATTATTTTGTATCTTCAATGATTGCAATGAAGGATTGTTGATTCCAGCATAAGAAGAAGCACCTCATTCTATTTTCGACACCATATCCTCACGCTTGGAATGGACACATAACTAACTCATTTTTCGAAGATACCATCAGCTTCGGAACTGGTTCGACAGGAGCTGTTCTAGAGTTGTTGCCTTGAAACAAACAACCTACCATCGCTAGCGCAAGGACCCAAACCTGGTAACTAGAGCAGTATATGTTGAAGCAAGGAATAACTGCAGCCAAACAATAGATGCATCAAAAGAATCATACAATGCCAATGACTCCCGTTCGTTTTGATTCTACTATTTTTATGTATTTTAAAGACCTCTCTCAGTAAGGACTGAAGAACACAAGTACAATATCAAGAAAAGACATACCGATAAATCGAAGCTAACTGAACATATCCTTACTGAAGATGGACAACAAATGGCAGAGTGGAATGATATCAAAATCATAGGAAAGGAAGATAACAACCAAAAAAAAATCAAGGAATCCGCTAATCCTGTAACTGATTTGTAGACTAAATAAATCACTCATTCATATGCCAACATCAGTATGACACTGAAAAGAATCAAATTATGAGTAGCACAACTTCCAAAGAGTAATATCTTGCATTTTCATGTTGAGAACGGGGGCAGATTCAGTCCCGAAACGACCAAAGATAAGTAAAAATTCGATATTTTTTCAACAAATCTATATTTCTTTCCTTCAAACATTTTTTCAAACAAATTGTCACTCATAGCAACTGGATTTTCCTTCTAGGCTCCCAGATAGAAAAATTAATTGAACGCATTGACATTTTGTGGCAAATCATCTGATTTGTCCCACTACAAATATATTGAAATAATACGCATATTTTTATTTCATAGAAACGAGGACTGAAAATCACATAAAATCAAGTGAAATCATTTCCTACAAGTCGTGTTTTTTTCATATTGCTGGAAAATAGCTCATAGAGTCCAACCAATCCTCAAATAAGAAAACAAGAGCCTGCCCAACAACTTGAGGCTAATTTCCCTGTTATCAGTCATCGCCAAAGTACGAAAGCGTAGAACGGACATGAGATATTTTTTTTCTTAATTTCGAGTTATAACTCGAAATTAGCTTAATTTCGAGTTATAACTCGAAATTAGTGTGTTACAACTCGAAATTAGCTTAATTTCGAGTTAAAACTCGGAATTAGTGCTAATTTCGTGTTACAACTCGAAATTGAGCTTTTCTTGAGTTGTAGTACGAAACCAAGCTATCAATGAGTCAAATTTTCACAGGAAGTAGTCCAATAAATCTCGGTATATTACCTAACAGTGTAGTTAACAATGAAAGAAATAGTGTACCTATATTATCACACCAAATAGATATTTTAGGAAACTTGTTTTCAACACATCGCTTTTCCATCACAAATAACATATCGCAACTACATTGCAAAAAACATATCGATGTTATATCGCAGAGTCCTTATGGCTGCGACGTCGCATGGATGAAACTTGAGAGTGACAAAATAACATCCCTGTGACATCGCAGCGACGTCTATGCGACAAAAAAAAGCGATATCGCAGGTCACAATTGTTACATCTCTGCGATATCTCTGTGATGTTACTGTATTTGCAGGGATGTTGTTTATAAACTTTTTTGTTATTCACTCGAACTTATTTATTTCACTCATTTCTGAGTTATACCGGTTAATAGTAAATGTTTCTTTTATGACAAAAACTGAGACTACACACGGACACAAGAATGCCATGAATATAAGTTACCATGGCAACCATTGTTATCGCAAATGTTGTCAGAGATATTGTCAAATTAAGCTAATTTCGAGTTGTAATACGAAATCAGTACTAATTTCGAGTTATAACTCGAAATTAAGCTAATTTCGAGTTGTAACACGAAATTAGCACTAATTTCGAGTTATAACTCGGAATTAAGCTAATTTCGAGTTGTAACACGAAATCAGTACTAATTTCGAGTTATAACTCGAAATTAAGCTAATTTCGAGTTGTAACACGAAATTAGCACTAATTTCGAGTTATAACTCGAAATTAAGCTGATTTCGAGTTGTAACACGAAATTAGCACTAATTTCGAGTTATAACTCGAAATTAAGCTAATTTCGAGTTGTAACACGAAATTAAGAAAAAAAATATCTCATGTCCGTTCTACGCTTTCGTACCAAAGTGATGGAGGAAACCATAAACATTGAGCTTATCAAATATCCGGAGAGCTCAGGAATCATTAATGAGAGACAATATGGCTTTCGCCACCAAAGAACAACTGGAAATTCACTTGCCTACGTCATCCATGAATTGGCAAACTCCATAAGAAGAACATGAGGAATCTCTAGATAAAACGCTAGATATATCGAAGGCATTCGACCGTGTTTTCACCAAGGACTGTTCCACAAATTACCATACAGCTTACCACCTCAGCTATGCCATCTTTTATCGAGTTTTCTTTCAGGTAGATCGCTTCATGTGGTGGTGATACCATTGCATTCCGGCGTTGCACAAGGACCTATAACCTCGAATAATTAGTTCATTATGACTATAAGTTACATGAAATGGTACCTCACGCCTAGTGAAAATGTGATTATAATGTAGTGAAAATGTAATTATAATGTAGTGAAAATGTAACTATATAATGAATGTTGCATGAATTCGCCTTCACCCATATATTAACTATCAAAACTAAATATAAATCGAAGTCAGAATCCAGGTTCGTTTTCAGGAAAGATAGACAACTCCTTTCATTCAGAAAACAACAATCTATTTTCAAAATTTGGTAGATCTGTTTTGATATTTGCGAATAGTATAAATAATTGACAAATTAACCTACTTTTTATGGGCGCGCATCCAATTTGACATTTGTTTTATCATTCTTTTTTGAAATTGAAAGCTTGATTTTTATTGAAATAATAATTATTTATAATTCGATTTTATGATTTATTTATTTCAGATACTTCAGAACTTTCAAGTTTCTCCATATTGTACAATCATTAGTTGCAATAAAGTAGGCTTTGCGAAAAATACTAAAATTCTAACAGCCTATGATTACTAGTGGTGAGTACAAGGTATTTGTTGGTGCTCATATTGTGTTGACTATTTCACTCATCACATAATTTGACCAATCACAAGCCAGAACATCGTGATATTACTTATGATAATTATGCCTTTTTGCAAAGCATAGATAATTTACCGCAGCTTCAATAATTGAATAGTGAAAAATGCAATGGGTGCTCAAAAATATCTAGAATATTCGACAAGTTGCTCCATCAAATGACCAAATCTAGCGATATGGTTCTAATTGAGATGTAATTTGAAAAAGCCTCGAAAACGAGCTAAATATTTCAAAATATTATGATGCGCGTTCGTAAAAAGCAAGTAATTTCATTAATTTTTTCCTGATCATCAGATATCGAAACAGATTTCAAAAATGTTGCTAAACATAGTGTTGTTTTTTAATTTGGAAAAGTTTTCTGTTTCTTCCGATAACGGTTCTTGATTCTCATTCAAATTTCTATTTAGTTTTGTTGGGTTGAATAAGTGGAATGTACTCACCAAGTAATAGATTATACAAAGTTGTTCAAAACTTTCGGCCAGATGAAGATCGAAATAATGTCCTGTAACTCAGTCATAAAAGACGGTAGACACATCAGTAGGGGTGACTTCGAACCACCAAAGTGTCCTCTATATCTACAGTTATCGTATGTACATTTAGATATGAAACACCATGTATATACTCCGAAAATGTCGTTATAGAAACCTATACAATAATGCGATGCATATATTGATTCATTCAGAGATATTGACCGCCTGAAGCATAATTTCAAGAATGGTGTTTTAAAAAATTATACATTTGTAGATAAAATCCCTCTTCTGTGCGTCGAGCATCAAACTTCACACACGGGACGAAATGGATACCTTTGTTCCCTTGATATGTAAATAGCTATCTATCTTCCCCGGAAGATGCTCGAGGCGTATATTATAAAGATTGATTTGGTTAGTGGTAAAAAAGTGCTGTAGTGTTACTATTTATCATGCCAGGGTCTTCGATAAACTTGAATGAATGAAAAAGGCCACTCGGTACGTATACAGCTGAATACAAATATGATGTAATCAAAATGCACTCACTTGTAGCTGCCATTGGTACTGTTACTGCAGGGCGAAATGTTGAACAAGCTGGGAAGTGGTTCTAGATCCAATGG